GAGAAGCTCTTACATCACAAATTCAGCGGTGAGGAGAAGTGTTCATCATTTATCCAGCAAACATGTATGAATGCTTCTGGTGCCAGGAATAGTGTTAAGCAAAACAGGCACAGCCCTGCCCTCAAGTAGCTTAACACATAATTATTACATCTTGTTCTCTTGGGTATACCCCTCACTATCCAATGAGCCACTAGCATTTACTAGGCACCAACTATGAGGCAGAATGTGAGACTACACAGAAGCTGCGAGACTCCCCATCATCCTCTGATGGAAATGAATGAAGGCTGTGTGCATTCATTCGCAGATGCTAACAGTGGTGAGTGTTTATAGCTGGCTTCCCTCAGGCTGCTGGAGCTTCTTTTATCTGAGTGCACAAGGAGCCAAAGTATTTGGGAAATGGGGACCAGCAGATGGCATTAACGATGTCGTTGAACTCCCATAGTTGACTGCAGTTCAAGACCCAGATCCAGTGGCTTAAAACTCACACCAAGTACATGTGCATGAGTGCCCATAGTCCCAAGAGGAGAATGCAGGGGAAGGGACTGTGATGTAGCCATCTCCCCAGGGAGTGATGTCTCGCTTTCTGTCTTTCCAGTGAGCACACATGCTCTATAGCAAAAATCTCTCTTGGGACCATCAGTTGGTGTAAGGGGTATGTTGCTGGACTCCCATGTAGTCGACTGCGGTTCGAGTCCTGGACCTAGTGGCTTAAATTCACACCAGGCGTGTGTGCATGGGTGCCCAAGATCCCGAGAGGAGAATGGAGGAGATGGGATTGCGGCGTGGCCATCCCCCCTGCAGGGGTGATTTCTCACTTTCTCTCTGTCTCTGTCTTTCTAGCGAGCACATGTGCTCTATAGCAAAAACCTCTCAAAAAAAAAAAAAAAAAGTACTCGAGAAATGGTATTCCCAGGGATAGCCCTTAACAGATGACTGACAGGTGCAGAGGTGCAAACACTCCAGGCCCCTGCCCTGATGGAGACAATTCTCAGGTGTGAGTTAGATCATTTCCACAACACCTCGCAGGACTGTGCCAAAGTTCTCTTCTGGGGCTTTGCTGGAGCTCACACTCTTGATTGGCCCTCTTTCCTTTCTTGTCCCTCCATCTTCATTTGTCTACCTGTTTTTCCTGGGACCACTTCCTAATAACTTACTTTCAGACCTATTTATAGGGAACTCCTTACCCAAGATGGAAGGAGAAAAGGAGGCAGTGGTTGCTCCTGGTGTTTATTACTACAAACAGTGATATAACTCGTCAGAAGTCAGTCATTAGGAATCATAAAGTGCTACTTTGAAAATGACTTGCTTTGCTATAAATTAGAGCATGTTCTGAATTATCCCTGCAGTAGGACCACTCTCTCATTTGCATTCCGATACACTTATGAGTGGAAGGGGAGCACTCCCGCTTGTGGGATTTGCACACAATAGCTATCCCTGTTACACCAAAACTAAAGACTCTTCCTCCTTCATGTAAACACCAACTGTTGTGGGTTTTGCTGTGTGGATAAGTTGAGACCGGCTGGATGGGGGCCTTGAGAAATGTTAGCTTCACGCCTCCCTGAACCAGGGTCACAGGAGAAGGGTTCAGATGCCCAGGTTCTTCCAGGCCCACATAAACAGCTTGCCCTCCTCTCACAGGAATGTCCTCTACTCTTGTCTAATCCTTTCTCATCCACTCCTCTGACCTACCCAGCCTGCACACCATCCTTGGCACTGTGGGAAATGTCTTTAGTTGGAAAGGCTTTCTTAGCACTTACGTATTTCCCAGCTCCCCAGTCTCAAGCTAGAAGGGTTCCAGAGTTTCTAGCCTAAATCACAGCCTGATCACCCAGGAGCACATTAGGGAACTGAGCCACAGCAGGAGGTGGGGACTTGGGCCGGTCCTGTTGTCACAGGATCATGGATACAGTCAGGGCATGACCTGATGTCCCTCAGAACTTAACTTTTTCTACAATCAAACTTGTTTTGATCAAGTGGAGTACCCAGGGGCACCCAGCTGCCCAGCTTGCCTGAGGGCTTGGCAGTCATGCCTCAGCTTAGACCCAGACGCCTTCCTTCAGGGTCTGGACCTGACCCTTGGACGCTGATGAGGTTCTGTTCCCAGTGGATCTACACCATCCAGGGAGAAAAATGCTTCTTTTCTTCCTGAAGGACTTGAGACTATTTTTGTCCCTGAGAATTGCTGATCTTCCTTGTCTGATGTGTGTGTATAGCCCCACAAATATTTTGGATTCCTAAAAAAGACTTTTAACAAATGCACCTTCCACCCATACGCCCATGGGGACATGGAAGGGGGATGGTTTGAGGGCAGAGACTGGGGCCCACCTAGGGGTTAGTATAGGCCTCAGAAAAAAATGCTGGGGTGGGGCTGGAGGAAGCCTTGGATAGGGACGGAGTTCTCCAAAGCAACCAAGGTTAGTGTGGGGCTGGAAGGAAGGATCCCGCACAAGGTGGGAGGGAGAGGCCTGGGGCTGAGGTCAGGGTGCAGTGAGAACAGGTGGTGTCCGTCCGGGCACCACATTTACCTTCTGAGACACTTCTCGGGATAAGAGAAAAGACCATTAGCACTCACCTCTGAAGTCTCTTCCTTCCTGTGTTGTAATTTCCTTCCAGGCCTCCAAAGGAGGGCGGGCTGGGGGGAATATGCTGGGAGGGCGCCGCGGGGCAGGCTGGGAAGGCCCTTGTCCCCGCCCCTTCTTCCCTCCTGGAGCCCTTGGCAGCCACTGCAGTTTTGCCAGAGAGCAGCTGAGCGGCCGGTGCCTCGGCTCCGAGAGACGAGAGACGTGGCCTCCCCTCAGAGCCAACTGGGGACAAGCCCCCCTCCGTCTCAAACAGCCAGAGGGAGTGACCCTTAAGGGAAAGACAGGGCTGACCTCAGCGGAGGCGGGGCCGAGCACCTGCTGTGGGCACTGGGAACACACAAGTTCAGGCACACCCTCGCTTGGCCTGGAGGAGCCACACCCAAAGGGTAGTCTAGTGGAGAAAAGGGCCTGGCACGAGGCAGGTGGCCAGTGAGTGCCTTCGAGAGGGGAAAGAGCAGCCAGGGCGCCTCAGGAGCTTACTTCAGTTGTGCTCGAAGAAGCCGTAACCAAAGCCCCGCGGTGTGAAAGTCCGTGGCACACCTGAGGGCTGGTGTGCGTGTCTGTGCCGCTGACGAGGGAGTACGTGCAGAAGAGAAAGGAGGGGCAGAGGAGGGCCTGGTGCACCTGCCCAATTAGTCCGAAGTGAAAGGTGCATTGACTCATGGCATCTGATGTGTCAGGCTAAGTGGCTTGTTCTGTAGGCAGCATGAAGGATGACTTAGCAGGGGTTCTCAAAGCCAGATGGGGCAACAGCATCACCTGGGGACCTGATAGAAATGCAGATTATGGTGCCCCATCCTGAGCCCATGGATATAGAAACTCTACGGGGGGTCCCAGCCATTTGGTTTCCTAAGCCCTCCAGGTGATTCTGATCCAGACCAAAGTCTGAGAACCTCCAGTGCAGTGAAAAGAGTGCTAGACTTCAGATGGAAGGTGGGTGGGAGGGGTGACACTGGGTGACAGTCTATTGTGTTCTGAGCCATGGGCTACATTTCATGTCCTCTCCTTGAAGTGACTTAAAGAGTAACCAGGAGGGGTCTGTATTGCCATACCTTCACAATTGATGGGACCCCTGAAGCTTGGAGGGCTGATTAGCTAAAGATCACACAGTGAGTGCTAGAGCCAAGTTCTGCTCCCAAGCAGGGGATTTTTATTTTTTTTTCCTACCACTGCCAGTGTCTCCTGCACCACTCCAAGTGCAACGGCCTGAGTAGCAGCAGTGCCTAAGAGCCCATGGTGGCGGTGGAAGGAAGAAGCCCAAAGCTTGAAACCTGGCCTTCACCTCAGAGAGCCTGGTGGTGGGCCAGTCCTGAGGCTAAGGGAAGAGAGCCGAGGCCTTTCGCTTGAATTTTAATAAGCTTTGCCGTTCACTCCAGGGAGCTGGCTTTTGCAAATGTACTGTTCCGAGAGACCAGCTGTCTTCCCTGACTCCTAGGGCTGATAGGTTAAGTATGAGGTTAAGTGCGAAAAGCAGGGTGAAGAATCACCTGTGTGCTGTGATTACCACTGCCTACATTCAAAACAAAACATGACGAACTCGGAGGGAGGGGAACTATCCAGCGCGACAGGAATTTTCTTCCCTCTTTTAAAAGTCCTGTCATGTGACGTAACTGTACGGTGAATATGCATTCCCTTATTTTTAATGTGCAACCAGGCACACTTCTGCAGCAGGCAGCGGCACAGTGGACAACTCTGTGGGCCTCCTGGTGGACAGGTTCAGGATAAGCTCAGGCTCTCCTGTCCCTGAGGCCAGCAAGGACAGGAAGTGAGGGGGTGGGGCACCAGACACTAGCAGCTGTCAGAGGTGCTTTGATATTCATCTCACCCTCTTGCAAGAGTTGGGGCGGGCAGTTGTGACACTCTTGAAATCTCTCTCCATGACACCTGTGATGTGAAGGGATTAGCAGGGACTTTGGGACCTAAGACTGAACCTTCTGGGCAGTAGGTGGCATGACTGTTAAAGTGCTGAACTCCCACGTGGCTAACCATGGTTGGGGTCTCAGACTTGTCAGCTTGCTTGCTTGCTTTCTCTCTCTCTGGTGAGTGCACATGCCCTATAGCAAATTTTAAAATAATAAAAAATAAAATGAAATAATGTTTTTTTTAAAAAAAGACTAAATCTTCTTTTAGGTTGTCTTGGCAAAAAACCATCAGAAAGAGTAAGGTTAAAAACAAACAAAAAAAGAAACAAAAAAAAAGTAGTGGAAGGTAGACCAGCCTCTGGTGTGGAGGCTGACAACAAGACTGAGTTGTTTCAGTCCTGGATCCAGTAGCTTAAAAAACACATTGTATACAAAATCTTGAGAGGAGAACAGATTGCAGGCAGGTGGCACCCCACCCTCC